GAGTTAGTTAATTCAGTTATGATTGAATTTCCTAGTGATTGTTGCCAGACCTTGTATCGTGGTTTTATCAACACGAAGCCCAATCACGTCCTATTTAATACATGGAGCTGGTCACGTGTTTTAAAATATTGAAGTATAGGAATCAGGAATATATTACAACAATATAATATTACAACAATACATATTGCAACGTTAATTGCTGTTGATTAAATGTATTTACAAACCATGCTTTCTTATAAATGCATATTTAATGACGTGGCATTTCCAATTCCATGTGGGAGCAATATTTGATTGTATGATAGAAAGTGCTCATGTAGTGATTAACTCTATTATTTGTCGGTACAGGGTGCTGTGAAAAGACAATGTGCATTGCGAGTTCTTCTGTTATGGTGGTCACGATTGAGAGATAATAGATCATTATATTGTCAGGGTATTGATTATGAGACCGACGCTGGTTTATATGCAAGTATACATTTGCGAATTTCACTAATTCACTTGCGTATTTCATTTTCACTTGCGTATTTTCATGTACCGCTGTATTTCACTTGCGTATTTCATTTGATCATTTTGGCGTATTGTACCCTAACCCCCACCCAACCCCCACTCTAACCTCTAACACTAACCCCCACCCAATCCCCACTCTAACCTCTATGAACCCTAACCCTGATTTAATCTTAATCTGGCTCTAATACTAATCTAAAAATGACGACCTTTTTTTAAACATTTTTGCACATTGGCATTGCAATGGGCTTATCGTTGAATGTTGAATGAAATGTGTTGCGAAAAAGAGTTCGAGCGCATCCTCGATGAAACCAAGAATGTCCCTGGGGTTGAAGAAGGCTCAGGGCCGTCAGGGCATTTAGCCAATTATAAAAGTGAAGAACGAAGGCGATAAATTGTGGATTTAAAATGCCAAAATGTGGCCTTATGCCAAAACCACCATGGTCTGTCTAAGTATTACTAGACTAGTAATAGTATTTGTCTTTTATTAGTCGGTGGGGCTACCTGTGGTGCCCACCGACTCTAGGTTTCGGCACGCATTTTTTTTCGCGGATCTCCAATCGCAGATCGCAAATCTCCGTTGTACACAAATTTCCATTATGACACGTCACGATTTTAAGGAAATTTGAGTATATTGAAGTGGAAACATGTGAGACAACGACATTGAATTATAGAACTATAAGTAGTTGGAAAATTGAGGAAAATTGAGTATATTTAAGTGGAAACATTTGCGACAAGAACTCAAGATTCGCTGCTCAAGGAGTGAAAGCACAAAATATCGTGAATGTTTTTGTATAGTTTTCAAGGATTAAAGATTGAAGCCTGATAGATGTTTCACAGGGTAAGTACTGAATGTATTTTATCTTCAGATACTCTCATCTCGCATGAATGTGCACATATTCGTGATAGACCTATGATTCATGAATACAAACATACCTTCGGGTACAAAAAATGCAAATATACCTTCGGGTACATACATGCATTATTCGTGGAAAGGCCTACACTAAAATATGTTGAGCGTTTTCGAACCAGGTAGAAAGCAGGCTTTATAGTGAATAGATTTTTGCGCGTTTGCCGTTTGATCCAAATATGGGCTAGCTTGTTAGTTTGTAAGAGATAATTCGCTAGCTCACTTGGGGGCGAAACGACTTTATAACAAACGTACTTGCAGGGAGGTGAGTCCGGGATTGGACGCGAAGCGAGGTGAGTTCGGAAAACTTCCAGCCACCCGAGGTGCGTCCAATCCCGGACTCACCGAAAAATTATATATTTGAAAATGAAGTACATGTAAATTTACAAGCAAATTATCGAGGAGTATTAAGTGATAATGCAGAAAACAGATTGGACATTGTATATGTCATAATAATGAAAGCACAGGTTTTTTAATTTGGCTTGGAGCTTCCTGTATTTTTTGCTTCATTAGTCGGTGGGGCCACTTGTGGTGCCCACCGACTCTAGGTTTGCCCTTTGGTACGCCACAAAATGACAAATTACGTCATTTTAATTACGTAATACTTACGAAATCAAAATGGCGACCATGGAATAGCGTGCAAAAGTTCGCTATCGACTATTTGGTCCAGTCGTGTCTTTTCTTTTTGGTGTTTTTGAAATAAATATAAAAAAGTTATCACGACGTTTTCACTGTTATGTTATCGAGCAGGGAAGTAGATAATTTGTACATAATTTCATATATTTGTATCGCGCGGCGGAGACATCGGGCGCGCAAATGTTGATGCTTTCTATATATTTACTATTGAATTTTCGAAATCTCCGGAGCGCAATTTCCAAACTTTGCAGTCAGTAATAATATTTTGGTCTTTTGGATCTACATAAATTAAACTTAAAGTCAGACATCGCCTGCTTCTTTTGAGTCATATTCCTATTAAATAGCATTGAAGGATTAAGGTTCATTGGGACAAAATGTATTACCAAAAGCTGAAAACGAGGAACTCAATTTCCTGATATCGTGTGGAAGTAACATAGAATCTTTCTTGGCCCAATAACATATATTATTATTCCATGCAGATTGCCGCCTCTATACTGCACAGGCGCACTGGTATGTAGATTAGTAGATATGACTAAATCGTTATTGCTATACATAATACAGTCGCTTGGTAATCTCCTCTCACGAGGCATTATTGTATTACACAGACGTTATAATGTGTTTAGTTTCGAAGGGAAGAATATTCTTGCCTTCCAGCCTTCGACGCACCAGTTGGTAACATTACACCAGCCGATCTGTGTAATGACAACAGGATAAACGCTTATAATTTTAACACATACGATAGATACTGTATACTATATGACTATTAAAACAACATTGCTACATGGTTGTACTTGTTTTAACTATTAGTGCTAACTGCCAGGCAAACTGCAAACTTCAAGATTCAATGTTTTCGGAAAAACAAACACGCTGTTCTTAAGTGGTATCACTTGTGCTTATTTCCATCGTCCCAGCGACTTTACGCTCCGTGGAGCGTTTTGTTTGTCGAAAATCGACGGGAGGCTGAAATGTGAAACCCATGTTTTCCGGCTAAAAAATCAACAGTTCTTAATCCTCAGGCATGTTCTTCGCTAGACTGCTCTTATAGCGAAGGCTTTATATCAATTATGCGCGGTTCAAAACCCAAAAGAAAAAGAATAAAACTTCAGGGTCTTGAATGTAATTCGATTTTTGACGACGATTACCGTAAGAGGCACGAGCAAACTTGCCATCAGGGAAAGAGAGTGCGAGTAGCACGCAAAGATGCACCGGCTAATCCGTTTGAGGCTGCAAAGCGCGCTCAAAGCCAAAGAGAGTATTTTGACTCGTCAGAGGCACAGGATCCTCAAGAAGACTCCACAGGCACAAGAGAAAAAGACCAAGAGAAAGACGAACCACGGGGTAAGAACGGACTTGTCTTTTTTTAGTTATTTAGCGAAATTACTGTTAACTTTGATCAACCTACTGTTTTGAAAGACCAAAGACATACCGCATACAGAGATCGGTTGCATATCCGTTTTACTCGTTCTCTGACGCATAAAATTTAAACGTTTGGAAAATTGGGTCGTACAAAAGCCCAGTTAGCACTAGCCACCACTAAGTAAGAGTGTTTTAAGACTTCTCAAAATACAAAAAAATATATAAATTGTCTATTCGGCGCCTGGGGTTAGAAAAGGTCAAATTCATGAAATTGCTATGAAAAGATTGAAATAAAATATCAATGAATCACAGATATTTGGATAACTTTGCTGACTTTGCGGAGATGCGCGTCTGCACCACATGCTAAGACACTCGTTACTCAGACTATGTGCACGGTAACGTTTTCGAGCGTTTTTGGTTGTAATGCGTTTCTGAAAGTACCGTTTTCACGTTCTGTTTACACGAAAACGTATGAAAACGACGCCATGCAGGAAGCAAAAACGTTTCAAATAGTGGAAACGATGCCAAAGATTTGTTTCTATGTCTGAAATATTTTGAAATTGGTCGTTTCGGCACTTTGTTATAGTGTAAACAGGAAAGTGGCAGGCGAAAATGAAAAGCTGTGTTTAAATTTGGAAACGAAGACTAAAAACTAGTGCTTTGTCAGAAATTGTTGCGAGAGAAACGATCAATGTGAACAACGCGCCTCAACGCTCAAGTTGAAAACGCCATTGCAAAAACGTGTGCGCATACATAGTCTCAGTCTCGATTTTGGACCTATTTAAATTAAAACACGATATAAACTATGTTAAATTTAAATCTTTTTCAGCTTTATATGTTTAATATAAATAAATTAATATAATACTCCTATTTGAAAACAAATACACGAAAATAAAATACTGTTATTAGGACAGGTTCATATTGAGCTGTGCCTGTGGTTCCAGTTATTGTTCGCGTGCTTCGATTTTGTTACTTTATATATGTTTCAGTGTTCTTAGAATGTCATATTTTATATATAAAGAACTTGCTTGCTTTGTAGCAACAACCCACGAACAGGCATCCATTTCAAAACAGGAGCCAAAGTTGTTAAACCCAAAGAAGTACCCTGCTCCAGAGATCCATGCGTCAACTAGCAATCTAACCATCGCAGATATCATCTCAGAAAATGACGTTTGTATCTCGGAAAATCACGATTCGACGGATTCGTGTTCCGCGTCAGAAATTACAGATTTTACCACATTTCATGTTATTTCACATTCTCCTACCTTTCCTGAAACTACAGATTCTCTTTCCTGTCCCAAAGTTACAGATTCTCCTACCTTTCCTAAAGATTCTTTTAATTCTGAAAATGCAGATTTACAATCCGAAATCAGTCAGAAATCATATTGGAATGATTGGATCGAATTTGTTGCAACTTTGTCTTGCATTTCCAACTATGTTAATGAGTGTCAAACACTGGTAAATGATGCAAGGAAGGCAGACATTCCCAATATAGAACAGTGGATCGAAGAAGCTAAGAACACTGTAACACTGATACAAGAAAACTGTGGCAGATTTGTTGAAAAAATCCGACACCATTCTTCAAGATATCCAACGGATGAAGCTCAAAGTTAACGACTCTAATCCTGGTCAAGTTTCTGCGGAACATGATCCAGCTCTACGTAGTGAGGTCCGCGACGACAATCAACGAGAGTACTTGGTTGAACTTGGACCTTTTCAGCCGAGGTTACCTTGTTTCCCAACCAACCCAGATATACCTCAGGGGAAGCAGAATCATTTTTCACCACGATGGTATGACGAGTATCCACATTTGGAATACAGCGTGGAGAAAGATGCTGTTTTCTGTTTCGTGTGCTCATTATTCGACGACACACCTTCAAAGGAGAAGGCAGACCCAAGCTGGAAAACTACAGGCGTTAAAAATGGCATAAGATGAAAAGTGTTGGTAAAAGCACTTCTCTTCCCAAAGTCATAAGGCTTCTTTCGGTGCATACTGTCACTTCCTACAGAGCACAAAGCATATCGACATCCAACTGGATAAGGAAAAAAGGGTAGCGCAAATTCAAGAAGCTCAAGATTTGGAATATAACCGCCAAATCATTCTTATCCTCCTGGACATCGCAAAGACCCCTCGCCAAGCTCTTCCCTTCAGAGGCGACAGCAATGAAGATGGTAATTTTTATCAATTGGTCCTTTTGCTCAGCAGACATGTACCAAACTTAAAACGGTGGCTAACTGACAAAAGGCTGAACCCGTACCACGTCACCTACTTAAGTCCTCAGTCGCAGAATGAGTTCATCATGTTGCTTGAAAAGGAACTGCGAGGAAAAGTAATAGAAGAAGTTAAATGTGCGTGTATGTTTTCCGTTATGGCAGATACTACTCCGGACGAAGAGCACACGGACAGACTCTCCGTTGTTCTAAGATATGTCAGCGCCACTGGAAAGCCAACTGAAAGATTGCTGGATCTTTCGAAGACGGAGGACAAGACAGGTCTTGGACAAGCACAAGACATCCTGTCGACGATAAAGCGGTGTGGTTTGAATACCGATAGCCTGTGTTTTCAGTCATACGACTTCGCCGCCGCAATGTCTGGTGAATTCAATGGTGCCCAGAAGAATTTGTCCGAGCTTGTTGGACGCCATATTCCTTACATACCATGTCAAGCACACCGCTGCAACACCGTAATTGAGCATAGTTGTAACGCAAGCGCCATTGTCCAGGAAATGTTTGAGATACTGCAGGCACTTTATGTGTTCTTCACATCTAGTACGAAACGGTTTCAGCCACTGAAAGATGAAATTACCAAGGTCGAGAACTGCCTGATGCTCAGAAACCTGTCCAAAACCCGATGGAGTGCAAGGGCGGAGAGTATTCAAGCTGTCTGGACATCATTTGAAGTGATTCTGGATGTATTATACGCGGTTACCAGCAAAGCAGATGCAAAAACCAAAACGCAAGCACTTGGTTTAAGGAAAAAATTCTTTCGCTTGACTTTGTTGTTGCACTGATGTTCATGAAAAACATTGCGTATAAAACGAAAAGTCTGGTAGTGGAGCTGCAATCAGTTGAGCTCAATGTTTTGGATGCAACAGGCCTTGTTGATGGAACGCTAAGCATCATGCAGAAGTTACGAGATGACGACAAATTGATGGACGATCAAATTGAGGCATCCGTAATCTTCGCCAAAAACATCGAAATTGACGCGGAAGCAGATTTCAACCGTCATCATCGCCCAAGGAGAGCATCTGGACGCGTGGATGAGCAAGCCGGAACAGCAACCAAGTTTTCACTTCGAGCCTACTACAGAAATCAATTTCGCGAAGTCCTTGATGTTCTGACATCCCGAATGAGAGAACACTTGGTGCAGTGTAAGAAGAGCATTTTGCCTTTGTTAAAGTGTTTGAAGCCACCAATCGATGTATCGTGCATTCATTCCGCTGTCTCATTATTTCCACCTGCACAATCACCTGACCCATTAGCTGTAGAAGCCGAATTACAAGTATTGGCAGAGTTATTACCTTCCGACGTTGGCAAAGACTATAACAAGGTGGTTGAAGTCAACGAAGCCAACAAAATGTCCCTTCCATTGGCAAATTCGACAGTCAGATTGATGCTTACGGCTCCTGTGACTGTGGCTTCAAACGAACGTTCATTTAGTCAAATGAAGTTTGTGAAGAACAAACTACGTACGTCAATGAATGACTCAAGACTGACTGGTCTTATGCTTTTAACCTGCGAGAAAGACCTTACAGACATTCTTGACTTGGAAAAAGTTGCAAAAGAGTGGAGCCTGTTGAAGAAAAGACGAGTTCGTATACACTAAAACTTGCAAATGGCGAACGTATCTCGATCGAGTATCGATAAATATACTAATACGTTTGTAATATACTCTAAATGTACTGATCAAATACTCTAACAATTAAGAGTGGACTAATATACTTTTAGCTAAACAGTAATTTACAAGGAAAGTACGAACAGACGGAAGAGTGTTCTAGCTATATATGATTTAGTTTCATTTATATATCCACATCTTTATTTTTGAGGGAACAGTATATTAATAAATAATTCCTGGTGTGTACAATACGGATAGTATATATTTGTACATTAAATAATGACTCATCAATGGTCGCGACATGCACACAATGTGGCATAAAGTTAACAAAATTTTTGAAAAACTCGGCAAATTCAACTAGCGTCACTCGGCAATTTGACCTTCGACACCCCCCAATCCATATCCCTTCGCGACGGCTCTGAGAAGGCTAATCGTAGACAAAGGAAAATCCCTAGATCGTTGAAATATGGAGGTAGCATACTGACGGAAAGGCTTTCCACCACAAGCAAATCAGATGATAAAAGCACTGAATGCTACTGATCACATGCGCCGATCATATTATGAGGTCATTGACGTCGGATTGTGGAAAGTATTAACACGAGGTTTGGGCAAAAATATTCTTCGTTGATCAAGAATATCTAGAGCAAATCCTGTTAAGATCCATGTTTGAAACTAGAGGATTTCCGATAGATCGCATGATAGATAACCTAACGCATGCCTTGATCGATAAAGAAAAGCTGAGAACTCAACTTGACGACCTGCCCACAATCCTTGGTCTTTACAATGTGGAGAAGAAGAAGAAAATAACATCAATTTCTCGAATATCGACCATCGCCGATATCTTCAACTCTCTGCCGTCTGCCAAGAAACAGTGCTTGGAAGTCCACACGATGATCAAGCTGTACTATACTATGCCCCTCACATCGGCCTCCTGTGAACGCACATTCAGCGCAATGCGCCGACTTAAAACGTGACTGCGAGTCAACACCAGAGCAAACCATTTGAATGACATTATGTTTGAAAGTTTGCTAACATACAGAAGAGCGATATAGACAGGGTCGATATCAAATCAGTCGCTACTGAATATGTTGAAAAGAATGACACTAGAATAGATTATTTTGAAGAGTTCTGAAATACTCAAATATGGTTAATATTTTACATAGTCAAAATAGAGAGACCGTGTCACGTTATCGCATATATAGTATAAAAATATCACTGGAAATCTATTATATGCTTGGCTTAGTGTACTACCTATTTATTGGTATAGCCAGAGTTAGGTCGCGACCAGTGCCTGGCTAGCTGGGGACTATAGTGCCTGGTGGTATGATATTTCGTGTGTCATAATATTTTATTACGAACGATTGTAAAAAGTATGCATTAAGTTTTGTTTGATTGAACACAGATTACAAGAATAAACTAAACTAACTGGTAGACGATTCGTCATATTGATAAATCTAATTTCTAATTGCTTTCGTTCTGTAGTACCTATTTGTACATAGATTGTAGAAATATTGATTTAATGAGTTAAAATTTAGAAATCATCGAAATCCCATCAAAAGGGCGTGGCTACGAATTTTCTACGGACTGCCTGCCCTTCATGCTCGCATTTCCCCTCCTGCCCTTTTATCGCTCTGGCGTCCCTGACTTGAAGAGCTTAGAGAAGGTTTCAATTTCATTCTACATTTATATACAGTGGAATAATCGCACGCAAATGTGTAAGCACTCACACGAATGGACCTTGGATGTATTGAATGCTGATTAAAAAATTTCATTGCTAAGCCTAAGAATGCGAATGGATGAAAACATATTTATTTTACAGATGTGAGGCTAGTATACAGTACTTTAATTTAGTGTATTAGTTGCAGTGGTAATCATGTATATAAAATGCTCCACCATCCGCCTTTTATCTACACCCCATTTCCAACACCTTTGAGAATTGAGATGCATGGTTCAGCAAGCGTTACACATTTGGACATTCAAGACCATTTAATATATTGATTTTAATGAACTGTTTTTAAAAAAGCAGGTTATAATTATCATAAGAAAGAGTGTATAACGCACAAAAATTGTTAGGGAATCTACAATACAGAATTACAAGACAAGTGTATGCTTTTCCTTTTTAATTAAATTTAATTAGTCAACACGAGCATGTTGATGGCAAAAATTTTAACAAATTTATTTGGATCAATGTATATACAAATATGCAAAAAAAGCGAATATTTACATAGTAAAAACGCAGACATTTTAAAGTTAGATCCAAAAAGGCAAGGTACGAACGGGACTCTTTTGAAAAGTTCCCATTATATCATTATATGTACAGTGACACATAGTACACGTACGCACGCTCACAGACAAAACACACACGGACTGGTTACACACAAACGCTTAAAGATAGACTATTAAAAAACACATTTATTTTCGCTGTTCTCTATGACAGGGACAGTCACGCACCAAGGACCAAGTACAGGATAGTTCAACGTCATATACTGAGCGTAGAAGTTCTACAGTATCTCCTTTTTTATTCAAAAGCCATTTAGCCTCGCCTTTTATACCTTACCTCTTGAATCCATGCATAAGAATGATAGCAGATAAGGTTTAGCAAAGTATTTTTCTATTATATATGATATAAAAGTGTCTCCACATATAGTTTGTCAAGGATATATGTATACATAATTCATATATATATATAAGCATGCAGATACTGTATATGCTGACAAAGTCTCGCACTGTCGCACATTCACACAGTCATATTACTTGATGAGTTTTTATACCGAAACTATGACACACAAGTTTCAATTTTCAAACAACATGCACGATATTCAAGTAACAAGCACACTCCCCTACCATCCCTCCCTCTGTATATTTTTAATTTTATTACGAATATAACTGGAACGCTACCTTTAGATAAACTGCCTATCTTTTTCTTGAAGTCAAAACACGCGGGTCTTGACCCCCAGGCACGCGAGCAAATGTTGAAATATTAATATATAACAATTATATCGGGGAATATTCACCGAGACGAAGTCGAGGTGATGATTCCCCGATAATCACCGAGCCTGAGGTATTAATCACCGAGCCTTAAACAGCCTTTAGTATTTTGTGTTTTTTTTGGGACTGAATTTATTTTAATTTCGCTTATTTTATCATGTAGTAACTTCCACAAAACGGCTAGCCGCCATTTTGCAAATTTAGGTTTTGTTATATTCACCTGCTGTATTTAGGTGAATATTTAACAATTATTCGCCGAAGGCGAGGTGATTATCGGGGAATATTCGCCGAGACGAAGTCGAGGTGAATATGAGAATATCCCCCGATAATCACCGAGCCTGATGCGAATAATTGTTTTAGTATTTTTACACAAGCTTTTGTGTTTTTTGAGACTGAATTTATTTTAATTTCTTTTTCAGTAAACTTCCACAAAACGGGTAGCCACCATTTTGAAAATTTATGTTTTGTCGGTGAATATAACAGCTTATTACGTCAAATTTGACCAATCAACGTGTATGATTTGTTATGTCCACTTGTACAGAAATACTAAAACAGCTTAATTGCCTTAATACGTCAAGTTTGACAAATCGACTCAGTGTAGTATTTGTTATTTTCACTTGCGCAAAAATAGTAATAATGTTTAGTAGAGGAACTGAATGACAGATTGAAATTTGTTTCATTAAATGTACTTTTGCATGTAGTAGAGTGAGGAGTCTTCGAAATACTCGTGAATAGGTATCATATATTTCTTTATCGTTTTAACATTAACTTTGCCTTCCGCGCATCTGTACGGGAGATGTGTTCCCTTACATCTATCAATGAATCCATAACAATTTCGGGTAATTTCCACCAACGTCGGGCGAATTTTTGTCGGTCTCACCTCCCCGCCCTATTTTTTTCCGCGCGCACGCCTAGCTGACAACGCAGTGTAGATGTAGCAGTGTAGATGTAGCCCCAAGGAGGCCGAAATAGATTAATTAATCTTAATGCCTTAATTCTGATTAAAGTCTAATTCTATCATAGAAAATTTTAATAAATGTGGAAATATCGAAGACAAAGCAATTGAGTCACATTATTACCTGCAAAACTGGCCATGGCACCACACAGTGAATCGTTTTAATTAAATTATATTCTGATTTACTGTGGAGTAAACTATAGTAGCCTATATTTTTAAGTCCATGCAGTTAATTAAACTAGTCAATTTTTCGTCCATTTAATTTCATGCATCCTTGTTGTTCTTTCTTCTCCATACCAAATATAAAAGGACGTGAAATTATTCATTGACAATGCTAGAAGAACAAAATTTGTGGATGCAATATTTAAAAAATGACAGACTGATTTGCACTTGAAAATCCAGGTGTAATGAAATCAGAGTTAGTTGTCGCCATAAGAACGAACTAAAGATGTAGCAAATTAAAATTTGATATTTGTAAACACTAAGAATTATTCCAAATATAATAATTCCGAATTAAGGCTTTGTTAATTATGCTAATTCTTCGTATAATGATTCTTCGGGAACCTCGTTTCCATGCTGATTTATCACGTCACTACAATTTTCCCCAATGCTTGCTGCGTCTCCACGATTGTTGAGCATGTTGAGCGACACAATTTGCTGATTTTTTTCCGCATCGAGTTTGTTGTCCAGTTGCGCCTGCTCTCCTGTATCAATTTGAAATTAGAATTACTGAGATCTCAAATCTGGATATGATTACTGAATTGTGATTGGTTGAAATGAAAATTGAAAAAGGTGCAATTCTTTCTCTAGCCTAATTGAGCGCTCGCACAAAAATAACAATAGGCAACAGCATAGCTAAATGAAAATGCTTTTGTAGATTTTTGTTAACTTTGTTTCTTCTTTGAGATATTTCATTGTGATATTCATTGTGATATTTTCCGCGATTCCAAGATTCTGCATTGGTGTCAGTGTAAAATCTTTCAACAAGTTAAGAATGATTATCTTTCAGAATCTCATTGCATGATAAAAATGTGATAATTCATATTTTTCAATCATTTTAGAGGAGAAATTCCGAAAAGAAAGCAAGATATCAAAACATTAAGCTTGTATCCAGTCAAGCTTGAGACTGTGTTCACATTACTTCACGTAAAACTTTCATGTTTTTCAAAAGCATGGGCAGGTTTCGATATGAAGTGTTTTAACTTTTATCTGTTCTATGCTGAGCTAACTGAAGCATTGAATATGTTCATTACAAACATTGCAGTGACGTTTCAAGTGAGAATGGGCAGTACTTTTATCTGCGATTGTCCATCCTTAGGTGTAAACTGGGATACAAAACTGTAGATTGGAAAGCAAAAATATTTACCTTGTTTGTTGTTGTGACTTAAGTGTTGGTAGTTAGCATCTATGGGAATCCTTTTGGAGGCGATCAACTCTGAGTAGACTGCCGTTTCTGAATAATATATGCTATTGGAATAGATGGGTGTCTCTGGCAGTCTTCTGTTAGGTTGTATATCAGCTGGTTTCAAATAACCAGAATAGGGTGCCTCTGGTAGCCTTCTGCTACTTTGTATATCAGCTGGTTTCAAATAATCATCAGAATAAGGTGCTTCTGGTAGCCTTCTGTTAGGTTGTATATCAGCTGGTTTCAAATAACCATTATCAGAATAGGGTGCCTCTGGTAGCCTTCTGTTAGATTGTACATCAGCTGGTTGCAGATAACCATTATCAGAATAGGCTTCCTCTGGTAGCGTTCTGTTTTGTGGTGTGTTACCTTGGAATTCAAAAGTCGAATTCTCAATATAATTACCAATGTCTCGCTTTTTCCGTTTTGGTTTACGTCGATGCAGGAAACAAACAACGACTGTTACTATGACAATAAGCGTAGTCACAACTGTTCCAATAACAACGCTAAGGGTTTTGTCTGGGGAAGGCGTTGCATTCGATTTCTTGTTTGAAGAGGGCGTTGGATTAAATTTACTTGGCGTTGGATTGGATTCACTGTCTGGTGAGGGCGTTGATATACTGTGTGATGAAGAAGTCGGATTGGATAAGTCTGGATCGAGCTCTTTTTCAATATGCAATACATAAAATCGATTAGTTATTTGTACACAAGGTGTATGGAAAAGATTAAAATTCCGCGAAAATTTTATAGCCTACGTTTCACACGGCAATTTTTGCTGCAACTTGCCACGATATAAGTCCATGTTATCTAAAAGGTTACCCTAGGAAAATTGTGAGTGTGGCCCACAGTTTACTCTGCCGACATTTTCTTCCCATTCTTTTTTCCATCCCTTAAGATTTACGACTGCAGTTATGTAACTTATGAAAACAGACTATATGAGTGTCGGCAAAGTAGAATGTGGACCACACTGACTATTTCGTACCGAAATGGAACTATAAACTGCGTGGAATATTGGGCCACATGACCGCTATATCCTTTTATTATATACACAAGGTCTGGATATGAGGTTTTCTGCAATCTGATTGGTTCTCTACTAGCAGGATATTAGCTCATATCCTGCTAGTAGAGAAAAACAAAATGGCGGCCAAACTGAATTTACGATGTTCTGCAAACGAGAAAACGGCAAGTTGTCGCTTTTTATTGCCTTCACAGGATTAAAAACACAATTCAGACCTTGTGTATATAATAAAACAGTTATTCCACTCACTCTCGTCGAATATGAGCGATAGCCGATTCGGCGCTACGCGCCTCATCGCCGGCTATCAGCTCATATTCGACTCGAGTTCGTAGAATAACTGTTAAATATTTACGGCTAGGGATAGCGTTGTGATTGGGTTTATCATTAAAGAGACGCGCGTATTCGTGCGCGAAATATGAGGTTATTTCCCATTGGGTTTTTGACTGCAATATAGTGCTGTTTGTTCGGTCAACAGTTCAGATTAAATTACTTCAAGTGATTAAATTAACAAGAAAACTGATTACAATCTGTACTCACCAGTGCATCCTTGAACTGCGTCCCCTGTGAAACCTACATTGCAGGTACAATGAAATGAATCTGGGGGGATCTCTGCACATGTCATATTGCCACCACATGGGTTTTTTCGGCACTGAGTTGAATTTTGAGCTAAAATAAATATATTGAAGAATGTTAAAGATGCAAAAGCAATTCCAAAGAAATGCAAAATTAATCTTAATCCAAGGTAAAATTAATCTTAATCCAAACCTTGGATGAACCATTTCTTCGGAATTTGTCAAATCTACGTAGGCCTATCAAATGTTCACACAATTGCAAACGGACATTTGATTATGAGTAAAATTATAAATATGGTTTTGACTGTCACACAGTCTGATCAAAGCATACAGTTATAAACTGCTGTCTTCTATACGACCTTCTCAAAATTCAGACGAAAAAGCAGGAAACCAGGCGTACGAGGCGGGGAAGGGGGCTGCATTCAAGACTCAGTTTTAGTGTTTAGTCTGGTAAATTCTACTTAAAAGTTCGGCAATTTGCTAGGCCTGCCCGCCTCGGCTTAATGTATTTTGCCATGATATTAGTATTGAGATATTAATGTTTACGGATTGATATTTGTTTCACTAATTAAATGTAAATTGCCTGCAGTAGAGTGAGGAGTTTGCGTCTAACGTATCTTAATTAAGGAATGAAATCCCCAAAATTTTCGTCTTTGTACATGTACATCCGCGTCTGTACTGTCTGTGTAGGAGATATATCAAGAAGCCTTGAACTACTTACAGCACAGTATATTTCTTGAAATTATTTTGACTATATCAAACATGGTTCGGCCAAGAAAATCATTGCAGAGACGAGTTTCATTTGCTGTCTGAAAGGTTATGGCAAGGTCAGTATTGAGGAAAGTAGAGGACCACCCGTACAGACAATGTAGGTTATCAGTTGTCATTCCTGTATGTAAAGTGATGACTTTAGCCACGGAGAAAAACTTTACAACATCAAAATCAAATGTCAAAGAATCGAGCAAGTGTTGCATAATTTCCACTTCATATTTTATTTTGCTTCTTAATAGAGGAACGATGCTGTTATTGTGTAAGCGATGGTATGCAGCAAAAGACATTCCATAAATCAGCGGCGCTGGTTTCAGGCTGTTGATACACCTGGCTAGTTGTGTTGGTGTGATTTTCTCATCGTGATATCTAGCTGAAGGAAAAATCTGTATTGCAGGAAACCATCCCTCAACGGTTGTAATTTTAACACCACCTTTACTGAGATATACGGAAAATGCATTCGCAGCATGTTCAAAAGCATGCTTGACAGCTACAGTCACTACTCTGTCCCACTCGAAAGATGGTAGATTGACAAGAACATGAGTATCCACTCCATTAATACCAAGTAGAGAGGCTAAATCATTAATGCTGTATCTTGTTTGTATCGACATAATTATTAAGCGGTGCGCTTCTTGGATTGTTAGGGAATTTAGTTGAGATTCAGTAATACCAACGGCTTGTCCGATGCTTGAAGATGTGTAACCATATGTGGTAAGCAGTTTTGTTAAAAATGAAAGGTAGTTGGAACGCATTATAACATTGAGAGTTGAAGAAGTATTGAACTTTTTTATATTCCATATTGCTATTGGAATTGACACATTTCTTGTAAATGCAGATATCTGACTCAAAGTTGGCGTTTCCATCCAGATCCCATGATCAAGTTTGAGTTGGAGTAGTTCGTATATGTCAAACCAGCTGCTTTTCGTACTTACATTCCGAAAAATCTCCAAAACATTTTGATCTGAAACAACAACTGCAAACTTCTTTTCGATCTCGTTGAGTGATCTGGACAACAGAACTGCAACTTCACAAGATGGCAATTTATTATAAGAACCAAAAAGAGTTCGTGATAGGGCCAACAAAGGATCAGTAAACGATATGTTACTGCAACCAGACTCGAAGATCGACATTGGGACATTTTCAATAGCAAATCGCTGAGAAGGTTGCCATTGATATAAGATTTCCAAATCAAGGGGTAAAAACTGACTAACGATGTCAGCGAATTGAGCCATTGTGGTATTTCGCCAGTGATTAAAGGTGCCAAGAGCTGCAGTTGTAATCGACTTAGTTTCAAACAATTTTTTCCGACGGAGAATATCTTCATATGCAGAGAAGACGTATCTGTCTATCTCATTTAAGTCATAGCTACGAAGTGTTTTCCAGTCAATACGAAGTAGATCTATAAGTCCTTTTCTGGTCACTTCCAACGCATTGGCTTTACATTGAATTGCTGCAGCGATAATATAAGGCACGAACATTTCCCAAATGTTGATATAGGCTGCAGTCAGGTTTACTCCATTAACTAGTTTTAAGCGCATTGCAATTTTTGTCATATTACAGCAGAATCTTTCTTCAATTGTTTTCAAAATTGCATTATGAATATTTCCAATTCGCACAATTGGTCGAACTTTACCATTTAATCTATCTTCAGTCCAACCTGTTACATCTAAGATCGCTGGGACACTCACATTGTAACACCATCGCGTGCAGTTATAACCAATTAAATTTTTAGAAATGAGAATATTTGCATCGTGTAAATCTATGGCGTCGACGATAGCAATTGCTATTTCTTGTTCCAGAATTTGGTTCAATGATAGAAGCACCGGATTTGCCTTCCAGGAATCAAGGAGTCTTAACTTGGAAAAATATGCAGTTAACGTTTCATAGCTGTCTCCACTGCCACGCCCACTACCCCCGGATGTCGAGGTTACAAACTTGGTTGTATCTTGAGGAAGGTCTTTGACTAACATTTCAAACAAGGGCATTGTGAGGTAACGAACATTGGATGATGATGTGACCAATTTTGAGTTCAAATGAAGCAGCAAAAGTAGAATTGAAAACATTTTCTGGAGGAGCATGTTGAATCTATGGAATGAAGAAGGAACAAATTATTGTGTAAATTTGAGTATAAGATATATAAAGCATGAGCAGCCGATCTATATCTGGTTTACAAGACTCGTAGTAGATCATTAACAGCATCGGTGAATGCTTTATATTACTTAAAACGTATACTGCATCTGCAGTCATTTTCAAATGTGTTGGCCGGAACAGGTAATATAGCCAAACTGCCGAAGGAAACAGTTAGTTTTGTTTTCTAGAGAGTCACAATTCGTCTCGGGAAACATTGAGATTCAAGGGGAAACAAAACTATTTCCCAGGGAAACAGACATTATAGTTAAGTGTCTTGCAGTAGGACAAAATATAAATGAAACCAAATATGCGTCGTTTATTATTTATATTAAACGGATTTAGAAATTAAAGATGACGCGGCAAACTCGACTTAATTTCGTGGCTTAATTTCAATTCAGAAATAAGCGTTAAGGAATTTGAGTGCTGTAATAAATGCTTGAAGATTGTTAAAATAAAATAATTAAAGACTCCGATGTATTATGCAATCAAGGTATGAAATACTTCACTGAGATAGATATTGTTTCCAAGGGTTAAATGACGCTCAACACCGTTGAGATTTTCGTAATATATTTTAATAATAATAGCCTATCTTCTAAAGAGTGATTCAATTTTCATTAGATTATGTGACATAATATATGATTGAATAGAGTGCAACTGATAGACTTAAACAAATTGCAAATGACATTCATAATACCTGAAAGGTGGATCTCTACAGCTTGAAATCACACGATATTTACTCGATCATTGGCTTGTTCAAAATGTTTAAACTATATGAAGCGTTCTACGTCATAATCATCAAATAGAACTATTAATTAAGTTGAAATAGCTAAATATGTCGGCGTCTGTCCGAACCATCCCTCCGGGCAGTGGCGACGCTAGTCATGGAAACTGGTCAAATAATTTAAAATTTGCATAGCATGACCAGTTGCTATATGGCTAACTTCGCCACTACCTCCGAGGTCACGACTAAACCGAATTTTGCAAATTCAAACAACACTTCTGGACTGCCTGTTTGTATTCTCCGACTTCGTTTTCAATTTCACGTTCCGCACAATACCGTCTCGAACGGGATAAACTTCAATAATCTGTGTCAACTGCCACAACAATATCACCGACTTTTTAACAGCGGCGCTCTTTAACTTTCCACATCGCCCGCCGCGTCAAAGTCGGAAGATAGCTACGATGGAACCGCTTCCAAAACAGCTGGACTAAATGCTTGAACATATTAATTAAAATCTCTTTCGACAACCTTTAAATTAACTTCACGAAATGGACCTTGTGGAACTCCAGCCAAAATAAGGTGGTTGAGGATTAATGGTTGGGGGGGTCTTTTGAGACTGGGGAGGTACCCAAGGGGGCGGCTGTTGACGAGGCATTCAACTTCGTCAAAGACGGACGACATCTTGTTCCATGACAAGACTTCTGATTTCATTCAATTAGCATACGTATAGCTTTCTTCGTTTGTTGAATCCACCTCAGTGAGGACTCAGCAGTGCGTTGACCTTCCATCTGACTTTATGCACCATCGCGAATTCTTCCAATTTTAATTTCACCTTTCTTCTTGTAGTAACCTCTTCACCTCACATCCAACAAAATACGTTCCGTTATCCGTCGTAATGCGTGAATTGACAAATTTTCAATTGAATTGGACGAACGGTGGCGTACGTAAAGAGGGCTCCCCAGTTAACCGTTGGTTCAGTTCTTGCATGTTTTTGTCCATATTTCAAGAAAAACCGACAGTGAGAAGATCTTCAGCATCTGGTGGCAGGTCTGCCATCAACATCGCGTGTGGGTATTGTCGGAGTCTGCGACAGGTGACACACTCTCTCATGATCAGGTTCACCAAATTCCTAGCACGAGGAATTCAAAACTTTTCCCCGGCTGGTTTCACAAAGGGTTCTCTCGCAACCAGCATGGGACTCACGATTTCGCGGGTCCTTGACGACTAACTTCGAAATGACGTGTTCTGTTGGCAATAACTCATGCATGGTGGTTGTTCTTTTCCAATCTCGCTATATATTGGATCGTGAGCTGACAAGATCTTGTACGGGTCGTAACGATTCGGCGAATAGAGACCAACTACCTTTTAATAATACCCTTGGCTATGGCATGTGGCCACTTGTGCGGGTCGTAACGACTCGTCAAATTGGCCCAATAGTTAACATGCTCAACTCAACGAAAACGAACGAATATTCAGTTACGGCTTATGTTAATAGGGATATCTCATTTACAGTTAAACATGCATGCATATATCAAAAGATAGGCAATTGTTGTTTACCAAATGGCTATATTGAATTGAATCAAAACTACCGAAGTTTTACATAGACTTTGAGATGTGTTATTTTGGTTTTAGGCATACATATATACATGCATATACTTTTTGACATTCTCAAAATTTTTGAATAGCGATGCAAATGTACTTTTTATCCTTGTATTTACGCAAATATTAAATGTAAGTATTTTAATAATGCCTTTCAACGAGGTCGGCTATATTGCGAGTTGCGAGTCTGCGAGTTGCGAGTTTACGGTGGGGATTTATTGCCTCGAAAACGCTCACTTAAGTGTAATTTTGCGTGCTTTTGACGAATTGATCTTATATTTTATACTTTGACAGATCTTTTCATTCTAAGAAATGCTCTCGTTTCACTTTTTCGAATTTTGTCAAATTTTGGCGGGAAAATGATGTCATCATTCCTTAGTTAATTTTTCTAAAATAAGTGGTTATATTATCTTCTAAACCGAAACAATAATTGAATTATCTTAATTCATTCAAGAGTTATAAAGGATGGAATTTTCAGATTTCGGCCATTTTGGGCTATTTTTTGTAACAAAATGGCCGAAATCTGAACGTTCCATCCGTTATAACTCTTGATCGAATCAAGATAATTCAATTATATTTTCGGTTTTGAAATTTACACAACATCTAACTTTTAAAAAATTAACTAGGGAAGTCTTAACACTTAAACAAAATATTGGCGCCAAAAGGATGACGTCATTTTCCCGCAAAAATTTGAAAAATTCGAAAAAGTGAAACGTCAAAGTATAAAATATAAGATCAATTCGTCAAAAGCACACAAAATTACACTTTTAAGAGGATCGTGACTAAAACACCACACGAGTACATACGAGTAACATACGAGTAACACACAAGTACATACGAGTACATACGAGTAACACACGAGTACATACGAGTAACATACAGTACATACGAGTAACACACAAGTACATACGAGTAAAACACAAGTACATACGAGTACATACGAGTAGAATACGAGTACATACGAGTAAAATACGAGTAGTAAACTTGTTTTTAGTGTTTGTAGATTGAATACAGGCAAAAAGATCGTCTTCTCTTTCGAAAAACGTGGAATGGGGGAACGGGGAATGGGGGAACGGGCAATGGAGGAACGGGGAATGCGGGAACGAGGAACGGGGGGGACAGGGGAATCGGAGAATTATGAATTATTGTTAATACGTAATATTAATCATATGACCGGGGGAAAAAGAAAAGAAAAAAGAAACAGAAATTCGACAGGATAAACAGGAATCGGGGAATTACGAAACTATAAAACGGACTCTGGTGTCTTGGGAATTAGAAAACCGCTCAATGAATTAAAACTAGTAAAGAAATTTAGCGAAGCTTTCCTTTATTAGTACAGCGTATCATAAAAAGGTCAATCCACATTGCTTATGTAATATTAATAATAATATTGCTTATGTCATTACTAATATACTTGCTATATAATAAAACAAACTTAAGGACTAGATGCAAGTCCATGGGAATCCTTATGCTCCATATGATATCTTAAAGTGATTATCCTATTTTAAATATCGATCTTACAAAGCAAAACTAACAAAACACAAAATACTTCAAAATACGCAGATTTTAAGCTAGCAATTTAAGTTGGCAAGTACGTTTCTAAAGGACCCAGCCGAACTCTCCTGCAAGCCTTTGGACGTGCTCCACCTTGAAAAGGGAAGGAAAGTCTGGAGGAACGAGAACGTCGCCAAGAAAGCTTGGATACTTTGCTCTGATGCAGGCTGATCGGAAATGAAAATGCACGTTCTGAGGCTCACTTGAAAACTGGATTTGTCCTGCAGGGCCTTTTTTAACATATAAGCTGGGGGGGTGGGGGCATTTGACCCCCCCAGTCCCTCCTTGTGCCCCCCCCCACGAAATCACATTTTGCCCCCCCCCCAGAAAAAGTCCCTTTTTCCTAAATTTATACAAACAAACCAGCGAAGAATAACAAATTGATAAACGGAACGTAAGTTTTAGGCTTTATCCTTTGTCTTTGTTTAACAAAATCGATTTAAAGGACTGTGTCACCGCGTGCGCATCCTACGTGTTTCTAACACTAAGTTTATGATAAATTATTGTTAATATTTTTAAAATTCTTTGTGCGTTTTTCCTTCTTTTATTTCAAATAGAAGTATAGTTAGGATAAATTTTAGAGCAAATTTAGATGCTCAGACGGCAAAATCTCAAACATTTTCTGCGGAAGTATGCCCCCAGACCCCCCTATTCATTCACGGTATGTCGGCCACACACATGACCCACGGCCATTACTATCCCCCTTTAATAATAAGTAATGGATAAATTATTGTTAATATTTCTTTTATTTTTTCTGCATTTTTTCCCTTCTTTTATTTCAAATACAAGTATAATTAGCATACTGAAATTTTAGAGCAAATTTAGATGCTCATAAAGCAGGAAATGGCATTTGAAAGGTTCAAATTTAAAACATTTTCTGGGGGAGTATGTCGGCCACACACGTGGCCGTCGGCCATTGCTATCCCCCTCTAATATATTATCTGACAGAAAGATCCCTTTTCAAAAAATTTTCCCCCCCGG